CCTGCCCCCGGGGCGGCGGCTGCAGGGAGGAGCCCCCGCCCCGAAGTGAAGCCTCCCGCCGCCGTTCCCTCGGGCCGCCGCCTTCACCCGCACGTCATGTTTTTCAGCGATGATGGAGGAGTCGAAGCTGACGCGTTTCCAGAGGCGGTGCCTGATGGGCTGCGTGCAACGTGAGTGCCGGCCCCCTGGCTCTCCCGCCCGGCGCTGCGCGGCGGCGAGGGGCTTTCGCTGCTCGCCGTCAGGCGGGGGCGTCGGCCCGCAGCCCGCTCGGGCGGGCGAGTGCTTTGCCAGAGCGGCGCGGGTGCCGCGGACACGCGGGGCCGCACGGGGCGAGGCGGCCCCGAGGCTCGTCCGGGGAACGGGGCGCCGTGGCGTGACTTGACCCCCAGCCTGCCTCGGGTCAGCGCGTACCAGCAGCCAGGCTGAGACATCTGTGGCACCCGGCGTCTTCGCGTGTGGTGCTGCAGTGGATCGGCAGGCAGATCTTCCGCCGGTGGTAGCCCGGGGCCATCCATCCAGCCTCCTCTCCCCCTGACTTACCCTTACGTTTGGTTTGTTCTGCAGGAGGAGATACCCTGCCCCTCCAGTGCCACCCCGCATCCAGCAAAGAGCCAGCGCCTGTTTTCTCCCCACCAGTTTGTCAGCCGAGCAGGCTTTCAGCGAGACCACATCTCCGACCTGCCAAGGTCTGCCAGGCAGGAGATGCCTACGCCCGAGAGAAATTCAAGCCGCGGGCAAGGCGTAAGTCGGCAAACACCGCTAATACATAAACGATGCCGCCCGGCCCCTCTCTTCCCCTTATGTCCGTCCCCTGCCTGCAATCTCAGCAGCAGCAGGGGGTATCTTAATTCATCCTCACGCTTTCTGTCTTCAAAGATGCTTTAAAAATGGATCTCTGAGGGAACATCTGCTGTAAGTGCTCGCTGACTTCTGCCCGCTGGCTAGGGGGGTGCCAGGTGATAGGGACTCGCACAATCCTTGCGTAAGAAGGGAGTGCTGTGTGATTTTCTAGCTTATAAACATGAATCAAACCTCTGATGCCAGTTGGGTTGGCTCTTCACCACAGGTACAGCTATCCGGTGCTTGCACAGTTCAGTCTGGGGATGGGCTGTCATTAACGTAAAGCTTCTGGGGATGGGCTGTCATTAACGTAAAGCTTCCTCTGGCATCATTAGCAGAGCAGCAGTGTCGCCAGGCTCCTCCCTGAGGAGACAGGCTGCTAATCATTTCTTTCCCCCTTGGCATTCACAGGAGATTTGGAAAAGGAGAAGCAAAGGCTCCAAAACATCTTAGCGACAGGGAAGGATGTGGTGGAGGACAAGTTGAAGCAGACGCTGGTTCAGACAAAGGAAGAGGAGATACCCGAGCCGGACCGGTTTGAAGAATGTATGTCTTTACATACCCTGGAGGAAGGCAGGCGGGAAGCCTGGGAAGCCAGCTCCCTCCGAGGGCTGGGGTGGCAGGCTGTGTTGCCGGTAACCTGAAGCCCATTGTGGAAGGAGGCACAAAGCCCAGTTTCCAAGAGAAAGGACTGGCTGCTGTCATCCAGCCGTCCTCGCGGAGCTTATACTGCAGAGGTTTGCTGGCAGATTCAAGCTCCCTGGGCTGCCCGCACAAAATGAACTCTGCTGGCAGGGGAATACCCTGGGGAGGTGCAGGCTGACCTGGGCAGGAAGCCCAGGTACCGCGGGTCCTTTTTCCAGCCAGCGTAACTCAACACAGACTAGGACGCTTGCCAGCCTGACCGTGGTTTGGGTTCTGTTTTCTTTCACTCCAAGATCAGAGTAGTTACACTAGCAAAGCTTAAATGTCAGGCAAAATTTTAAGCAGTGATGGACTTTGGCCTGCAGAGTATTCTGGGATGGCAAAACCCTGCCTAATACCTCTCTGTGCTTGAATCTTCAATGTGCCTGTACACCCCAGCCAGCCCTTCGCTAGCCAGGGCAGCACAAAGATGGACAACGCTAGAATAACGTGTACAGAAGGGGTGCTTTGGTCCCTGCTGCAGGGAAGCCAGTGCGGCTGGCTTCACGCATGCTTTGTATCCTCTAAGACTTGTCGCGAGCTGAGGGTTGTCCTTGACACATCTGAAATACCCACGTACTTTGTACGGTGGCAAGATTTGGACCAGCTGGCTGCAGGTCTGTGCTGCAAAGCGGCAGCTAATGTTCTGTGCCTGTGCTGGTCCTGGGAACAGAGCTGGTTGTGGTCACTGGGTGCTGCCTTTCAACTAATGAACCTCAACGGCTCTAAGGAGGTTCTGTCTCCATCCACAGACCGGTTAAATTGCCCACAAGCAACAGAGAATTGTTTGTACAAAGAAAACTAGGAAGTTACCATTCCTGCAAGATGGGGAGCGGTAAGAAGATGGGCAGGGGGGACGTTTCGCATTGCGTAAGGCCCTACTGAGGTATTTTGATGATATCCTCAAGACGAGCGTTACAGCAGACATCACCCTTCCCCTGGCGGGACCGCTGTTCAGGCAGAGCTAGGAAATTGGGGGTTAAGATCTAGACAGAAACGTGTTTTCTTGCCTTTTGGCTAAATCGTCTTTTCACTGTGTTTTATCTGTCAGTGGTAAATGAAGTTCAGGAGAGGAAGGAGTTCCTGGCAGAGATGGAAGCTCTAGGACAGGGCAAGAAGTACCGAAGGATTGTCCTCACTGAAATCTCACAGGTAGCGAGGGCCCTGGTGACGCTGGCCGTGCAGTGTGTGGAGGGAATCCCTAGTGTCAGAGACCTTAAAGCAGAGTCTCCTTCCACCACCTGAGCGGGGAAGGACAAAGGGGAGAGAACTGTGTTTCCCTTCATGGCATGGGACAGACATGAATTTGGGGAGTGGGGGATAGAGGTTTTCAGCCTTTTTTTCCACGTCTGCCTGTAACTTAATCAGGGAAATACAAGCTTTGTTCTTGGGGCTGGCAAAAAAGGAAAAAAAAAAAAAAAGCTGATGGCGTTCTCCCCGCTCAGTCCTTCCCCTTTGTACTTTGCAGAAAATGCGTGAGATGGAGATCATTGACAAGAAGAGAAGTGAGGAAATGAGAGAGATTGTGGCAAAAGACATCCCTGGTGGGAACCAATCCAATCCCCACGACTAGGCCAAGGGAAAAACACAAGCGCAGTTTGTTCCCACCTCTTCTTCCCAGACTCGCGGCATCGGAGTCTCAAGGGCTGGCCTGGGCCTGTGCCCAAAGAGGGGGCAGTCCCACCCGTTGCCTAAAGCCAGCAGGCAGGAGCAATTTGTACATGACTGGTAACAGAAGAAATCTGTTGTAAAATCCTACCCACGCACCAGATCCCTTCTTGCTCAACGATATTAAAGAAATGAAAACACACGGCAGCGTCTACCAAAACATGCCAAAGCAGAGCCTCCTTTTGCCTGTGCAATGCCTCGGAGTACAGCAATCGACCGATAAAAACGTTACTCCTTTCCATCCCCCCAGAGGTGGAGGTTTCTCATGACGGTACGACGATAACACGCCTTGCCACCCACACCGACGACCCGCTCCTGTCCCCACGACTCTGGGAACGGCTGTGCTGGCAGACAGCGGGGAGGAAGATGCAGCCGCGTGACCTTGCGCAAATGCGAGCCTCAGGCGTTGCCGCAGGTCAGCGCGACTGCGTGCATCAGCAAACTTCTCTCGGTGGCAGCTGACCTGGGCAGGCGCTTGGGCAAACAGCTGCGCTGGGGAGGGAGAGGGGATTTCAGCCCGGCACATGCTGCTCTTTGCTGCAGCCTTGCTGTGGTTTTTTGGTTCCTGAAAGCACGGTATGCAGAACAGCCATCCGTCTCCCACAGGGCCTGGAAATGGCTGTTTGCTCACCACGTGCATACTCCCACCTCCGTCCTCCAGCAGGCTGAAGCATGATGCCTTGCTATTCCTGCATAAAGCCCAGCATGAAGTCCACCTCCCAATTTCCTTAAGATCCCATCATCTGCTGCTTTGCGATACTCAGCCACTCCCCAAAGCAAGGCAGCATGCTCTGTCCCCAGGACAGATACAAAAAGGAATCAGAAGCCGCGATAGGTTTTTAAATCCAATGTTTCTTTTATTTCTGTTCAGGTGAATGGAAGTCACGGAGTTAGTACAGTGTAATTTACAGATCAAGAGTTCTGACCGGGCGCAGGGCCAAGGGGTGTCAGGCTGCAGCGATCCCGATGGCCTTTGGCAACAGTGATGCGACAGCAGGCTCTAAAGCGGGTTTGTTTCTCCTTGGAGAAGAGTTGTGCTTTGGGATCTCCCCTCCCCAACCACCACCCCTCATCAGCCTGCTGGGTATGGCAAGAGCGAGATGGTGTCACCAGCGCGGGGCTGAGCTCGCCACCTCCCAGCCACGGGGGCCATGCTGGGATTGAGGAGGGGCTCGGGTCCCTCAGGTTTTGGGAAACGAGGATCCCTTTCCAGAATGCTACGCCAGCCACCTTGCAAGGCACTGCTCCGAGAGCATTTTGGCTAAAGCCTGTTGGGTTTTCAGAAGGGACTGCAGCAGATTGCTCGGGGCTGGTTATGTCTGATGTGCTCATGAGAAGGCATGACAAACAGCTGACCAACCAAACACCCATGACACTCTAATTCAGACTGATCCAACAATTCAATAAATAACTCCTCGCCTTGGAGGAGAAGGCAGGAAACAAAAATGGAAGGAAGAAGGGATGGTTGGAAGAACACTGCCCCCCATTCCCTCCTCCAATGTACACACACGCACACACATGACAAATAAAATAAGGGTTTTAAAAACTTTTAGGATGGGTTTGAATTCATCTAGCAAAGTAGGTGTAAAAAATAACCAGCCAAACCCTGCACACTTTTAAAGTATACACAGATGAAGCTGGGTAAAGGTCAGTTGTGACCGTGCCTCTCTCCCCAGCTGCTCAAGGGTGGCACTGGTGAGCAGGGGCACAAACTTAGTGCCCCTCGCCGGCACTGAGTCAGTCTTGAGCTCTTCTGCCCTTGCCTGGAAAAGGAATGTTCCTCCCTCCCCCTGAAGGCAGCAGTCAGCGGTGTTTAGCAGCAGTGCGGGGTAAGATGTCCTGAGTAGGGCGCGTCAGCTACGTCCTAGCAGCTGTACACTGTCCCCTTGGGTCCTCTCAGCCCTGTAACGGAGCCCACCCAGCCCTGGCGCCCGAGGGAAGGGACAGCTCAAAATAAATAGGGCACCAGTTATTTTTTTGGCTATGGTTCTAGAGCCCTGTGATGCGGGGGTGTTTCCTTAACATTTTAGTTTAGGCCAGTAAAACCCAAAGAATCCTGATTCTAATGCCAGAGCTTTCTCCTGAAGTTAAAAACGGGACAGGAAGGGGACACGAGCGGGCGGGCAGGGAGGGACGGGCAGGCCCAGTCCCCTCCTGGCAGAGGTCGGAGGCACGTGGAACTGTCACAGAGCAGGAGAAGGGACGGGGGGCAGTTAGTGCAAGTTTTCCCACAAACACCGAACTCCTCGGCTTGCTTCTCAGTTAATAACAAGAACACGCAATGGGGTAATGTATCCAAAAAGCGAATCCATCTTCTCCCCGCCTCATTAGCAAGGCTTCACGGAGGGGATGATCAGGCTCCTCCACAGCCTCGGGAAAGGGAGCGCTTTGGTTGGACTCCCCCACTCCGGGCAGAGGGCTGGCGTCTCCCCGGGGCGGCAGCTCCGGTGCCTGGGGAGGGAGCGAGGGGAGAGGCGAGGGGGGTGGAGGGAGACGAGCCCCCCTTCCTGGCAGGCATCCCAGCCAGCTGCGGAGAGGCCAGGGCAGTCGGGCAGCACATCCCTCCCACTGCCGGTGTTCCCCTGCTCTAGCTTTTCTCCTTGGGCGACTTGCTCTTGGAGTCATGCTTGTTGCCCAGCAGCTTAAGCACCTTCATGGGCTTGAATTTGCCTTTCTTCTTGCTCTCCGTCTCTGCCTCCTTGTGAAATTCTGGGGTTGCAAAGGGAGGTTGTTACTGCGGGATGCTGATGGTTGTACACACACACAGACACACACACAGACACACACACGCATGACAACAGCGGCAAGGGTGAGAGCCATGAATCAAAGCCCTCCACTGTATGCACGTTTCTTTCTGTGATAACGGGGGTCTGCAGCACAACTGCGTCCCAAACTTTAATGGCCCTACAGGAAAGGCTCCAGACCCTACACAGAATAGATTCACTCTCTCCTCCGGCACATGATTTCATGAATGGCTCATGCTGCCCCTCACTGCGGTCAGCGGTGAAAACATCACTCCAAAAATCTTCCAGTTGTTTCTTACCTTTTCTTTTAATCATGGCTTCCAACATTTTATCCTCCTCCTCTTCTCTGAAAGAAAGAGTGGGAAATAGGTCAGCAATTCAGCCCTGAAAACAGCTGCGGTATTGTTTAAGGCTAGAGAACCTCCTACTTCTAAGCCGTGGAGGGGCAGATCCATCACTGTCTTGTGATCATTTGCTACCAGCAGGATAAATCCCACGTGCTGCCAAGTACTGCCCTGTCTTTCCCACACACGGCATTCAAAGAAACAAGAATCGGGAAGCCTGGGAAAGACGTCAGCAACAGGGACATCTTGGGACACCCCCACAAGCCGCTGGTATGGTGCTGAGTCAGACAGGCTACGCTTTTCCCCTCTCCCCCAGCCCACACCACTCCTCACTCACCTCTGCCGATCTTCGTCCAGGCAGTTCACAATGGCATTCCTCTGCTCGATGATGGTCACCAGCTCCTGCATCAGCACCTTCTCCCTCCCTCGGTCCTCGTCAGTCCAGTCCTTCTCTACCCAGGCGAACCCCGAGAAAGGACAGGCAATTAAACGGCTGAAGGAGCTCTGAAATTCAGAGCTGTGGGGCAGAGATCCCCTCGCATGATCCCCTTGCTACCCTGCCATGCCGCAGGGCCAGCAGTGCTGTGGAGGGAGAGCCCTGTAGGTGGCATCCCATGGGATAAAAGGAGCACGTCCCTGCAGAAGGCTGGGGCATGCCGCGAGATGGGACAGCGGCTCCAGAGCCAGCTGACTGCGCTGGCATCCCTAAAGATCTCTCTTCACCCGACACCCACCTAGATAGATGGGAAAATGAAACCCAGGGGAAAATGGAGGTAACTGTGCCCAGAAAGATGCTTTACCTGGCTTGTTGAGGAGGCAACGCAGTTCATACTCCACATCCGACTGCCGCTGCTCCAGGTTCTGCTGCTTGAAGCTGCAAGGGAAGGGGGCACTGCCAGGAAACCACTGCAAGGCTCCAGAGAGGCACAACATCATCCCAAGGTACGGGGTGAGCTTGGAAAGAACCACCGAGATGCTGATCTTACTCTGTACAGCCAAAGGGCCAGGGAGCCAAGCGCCAGCAGGGACCAGCCCTGGCTGCTCAAGGCCTTCCCGGAGGAGATGCTGCAGGGGCTCTGGTGACTTGCAGTGGGTCAGTTCTGAGTGTGTTTGGATACATTTGTCTGCTTGCCCTCTTTCCCTCCCTTCTCCAGGCAAGGAGGCCATGTCAGGCTCTCCCCTGGAAGCACAATTTCAGGAGGGCTGAGACAGGGCTCCCTGCAAGAGCGTCAGTGCCTCCCCACAGGCTTGCACACACTTACATGTAGATGAGCTCTGATTCGTGGCGCACCAGCATGTGCTTCTCATGGATGAGTTTGAACCAGTCCACCAGCAGGCTGTCCTCAGGGCTGTCTGCCAAACAAAGGGACAACTCAGAGCCATCCCCAGCCCTGCAGGATCCCATCACCCTGCAGCATGATGGGCTCTGCCAAGCCAGGAGAGGGGCACTGGGCTAGGAGCCTGTTCCGGAGCCCCAGAGAGACCTTCTCTCTCCTCCCACCAGTTTCCATTCTAAGGACATCTCCATGTCCAGGGTATGGCTGTGACTGTTCTTGCAGCCCAGCACAGCCCCTTGTGCTCTTCCAACCCCAGCAGGGAAGAAGTCACCGCTGCTATCTCCTTGGCTGGACACAGGGCAGCCCTAGGGTCCGTTCTGCCCCACGCCCATGGATGGCCCACCCCACATACCATTCTCAGCACTGCGAAGTTTTTCCTCCAAGGCCACTCCACGGTGCTCCAGCTGGTCCAGCTGGTGCTCGATGGCATCCATCTCCCCATAGATGTCTTCCTCAGGGATGTACTGATCTGTCTGCACC